GTTAGTCTGAAAGGTGCCACAGGACCCTCTGTTGATTATTATTATGGTAGCAGTCACAGGCCCAATCAAGATCGCACCCCCATTGTGCTAGGCGCTGTACATACATCTAGTGAGAGAGAGTCCCTGCCCTAAAGATCTTACAAGAAGACAAGACAGAGAAAGGGTTGGAGGGGAGCAGTGGTACAAGGAAGAGTCATTGCGAGGAGCCAGAAGGGTAAAGCAAGAGAGAGGAGAAATACTGACTAGGTGAATGAATGGAGAAATGGATTGCAAATCATTCACTCTCATTTCTGTCTATTCTCCGTCTCCAGTCCCCAGCTGAGGATGTCATTCATTGTTTTCTCAACTAGAGGCTCAACTCTAATGAGGTTAACTGAAGACAGGTAAGAAGAATTTGGGGCAATAGCACAAAGCAATGTCCTTCCTTTTGCATTTTCTCCCTATTTCTGGCTAGTGCATTCTGACTTCATATCAAATGACTTGATAACTTTAAATCACTCGGCTGTATTTAACATCTGATATGCATGTTAGGCTCTTAAAGGAAGAGCCAGTCGAAAATTTTAATCAACACCGTTTTTTGGTGGAAAATTGTTTCACCCACCCACCCACCCAGAGAGTGTCTGCTTTCCTTGAAAATTTTTGATTCTTTTCATCAGAAAAGAAAATTGAAAAACCCAAAATTTTCAGCTGAAACCCGAAGTTGTTTGTTTTGACAAATACTTGAAATTTTCTGTGGAAATTTCTTCCACCCCCCCTTCATTTTCTGTCCAGTGGTTCGCCTTTGTGTCACAAAACCTGGCTTTTGTTTAGTGTTTCAGTACAGAGGCAAAGGGCTAAATGGGCCATGGAGATGGGTGACTGGGGAGGAAGGGGAAGCCAGTAATTCCCCCTCCTTCCCCCGCCATTGAGTCCCAGTGAATCCTTTCCTTTCTCTTCTTGCATCAAACTCATGCTCTTTTGTCCTCTTCTTCAGAGTCTTGTATTGTCTCCCCATAATCTACCCCTCTGCTTTAATTTCCCCCTATTCCCCATCTTGTTCCCAATTCCTACCATGTTGTTCCTCTCTTGCTCCTACTCCCAGCTTTATACCATCAGTTATGTTACCACTGGCTCCTGAAACTGTTTCCCCTCTACTTGGCAACCTAGGTGAAGTCCCCCTCCTTAAATCTACTTCTTCTAGAATAATTCAGTACTTGGGTTGCCTCATTGACAAGCCTCCCTACGCCTTCCTTTACCTGAACTGTTCTCCCATGCCTTTATAATGATCCCTACCATGGGTTCTCAGCACCTGGGACACTGAGCACCAAACCACAGATCTCTGCAACTTGAGCAAAAAGGAGTAACTCCATTAGCTGGCAGCAGTAGTAGGCTATTCTCGTCTAGAGAGTATTCAGTTACTGGGGGTGGATGCTTCACAAGTGTATTACATCTTGTCTTGTCCCTGCTTTCCCCATCTATCTGAACCTGCAGATTCTTCAGAGCAGAAAAGAGGTCTCACTCCAGTTTTGTAAAGCATTGTGTAAATTTGTCGCACTCGTACCTGATTTTTAATAACCCTATATTAATAAAGTGAGCCAGTATACCAATCTGTGGCCAGTAGAGCAGTTGAATTGGAACATCAGAAAGATCAAGTTTGGAGCAATTGTTTTGAAAAGGATCTTCTTTGTGTGGGTAACTGCAAGAACACCAACAGGAATTCTATTGGGGTCTTGCTTTCTCTAGAGGATTCTGAGTAGAACGGGGAGTGCAGGGTGGGAGTGGGATCTAGCCCGTGGAAGGGTAAACTCTAAAGACTTGGGCTGAGATTTTTCAAAGCTATCTAAGGGATCTGGATGCCCAGTTTCCATTGTAGTTAATCCAGATCCCTTCAGGCAGCTTTGAAAATCTCACCTTCAGAGAATAACCCTCCGCTTCAGGATCTTATTCTCACCTTTCAGGACCTTTCATGGAGTTTACTCACCTCTGCTCTAGGGGCGAGAGATCAAATGGACAGAAGAAGAGTGTCTCTGTTTGTGCAAAGTGTGGGAACTATGGTCAGTCTCCTGAGAAACATTTGTAGGTGGTTCCTTCACCATTCAAAAAAAGGAACCTCCCCCCCACCAAATAACCTATCTCCCCCTGCCATAAACCAAAACACCCTGACAGCAGGTTTCATAACTGCCTAATAGCAGAGGAAGCACCTGTGTGCCAGATTTGGACAGCTGAATATGTGCCAGTTCTGATCTGTCTGAAGTGCACATGCTGGTTGCTTGACTTTGAGCGTATTGAAAGGGGAAGAAAGAGAGAAATCAGAGCAAGACGTTGTTCCCCCATCATAGGCCTGTCCTTTGATTTTTTTGCCTTTTCTCCATGCTGGAAGGGGAGGAGTGGGGTTGCTTTCACCGCCAGTGCAGAGAAGCCCAGTGCTTTTCCAAACATTATTTTTCTCATCTCCAGTTCACCTCTTTCCAGACACTTTGTTTGGGGTCCCTGTACTATTATGGAAAGTGCCTTGAAGTGGGTGAGAGGTTGGAATTGACTGATCTGTATAATTACTTAGAGGCATTTGTGATGGATATTAAGATTAATGAGAAGCCTTTGAAATGAATAAGGAGCTATAACACAGGCAAGCAGAGGATCTAGGTGGGTTGGGTGGTTTTTGACCGGGCCAGTTTATAAGCATAACACTTTTGGAAAGTATTCCCATTGTTCCCTCTTAGAAAATCAATGGGGGTCTTTTCATTGATTTCAAGTGTAAGTTGGATCAGGCCCCTTTAATCACTACAGTTTCCTCTGTTAACTTCATTGCCACGTGGAAGAAAAAATGTGTAACACATGCGAATGCTGTATGAATAGCATATGTTTTACATATTGGACTTCTCTGAGATTGCATACCAGCATAGCTCCTGTTTATGAACTAATAGGAAACTGGCCACTTTCCTATAGTATAGTCTACATGCATACCAGCCTAAAAAATGCTATTAAAACTGGCCAGTCGGGGCATGAAATCTACTCCTCTGCCATTTACAATAACAATGGAGGACAATGAGAAAATTAATTTTATTTAACTCGATTATCAGACGAAAACCCACCCCCCTACTGAATGGGCAAGGATACTTTTGCAAGACTGCATGTCACATACATAAGAAGACCTGCTACGTATGTACGTGAAACCTTTGTTTCCATATGGGAATGTATAAACTTACCCAACAGACCTAGAAATGATGTTGATTTCAGGCAGGACGGTAGTGTGGCACTAGCTAAAATCCAGCATGCTGGCGAATGTAAGTCTTCTGTTTCGACTGGAGGATTGACAGGTAAAATGAGGGTCTGTTGGCATGTATCATCTGCCTTCCTAATGTATAGCTGTGTGCAAAGGCTGTAATTAGCAATGGCCTTTTCTTTTACTTGGATTTGTAAAAAAGCATCTTTGGGTGATAGTTTGGATGAGCCCATTTGGAAAAGGGATGCTGCCAGTGCATGTGAGATCCCCAGCAGAAAAAGTGAATGGGGCACTGAAGCCCCGTTTGCGAAGTGCTGATGCTCTGATTTAGGACATCTCTAAAGAACATGCTCAGCTTCCTGCTAAGTGTTCAGCTTCACCAGTGTCCAAGGGCATCTGGAAGTGACGGACACTCTTGGGAGGCTCTCGGTCTCTTCTAGGACTGAGCTGTTAACAAGGAGCATGAACCCAGAGTACACGCCAGGTGGGAGGAACCTTAGCATGTGAATTTAAAAATCATAATTCCAAACTGAAAAGTTGCTGATCGATATTAATGCAGAAAATGTTTTGGTCGGCATAGTAACCCTGGGCTTTGTTATTAATTTGTATTGAGAAAATCTCCCCCTGCTCCATCCCCCATCCAACTTTGCCTTTAGTGTCACAGGTGACAATGACTCATTCAGCCCCCAGTCCTGCAATCCGTTCCACAAGGGCAGATTCCCCTCACCACCCTGCTGGTGCTCTGCATAGATTAGCCATGTAGATCCAATTGCAGACTCGGGGCCAGACAGTGCCATGTATATTACAAATCAAAGAAGCTTTGATTACCTGGGGTTTATTAACCAGAGTATGTTATCACCATAAAAAGGAACCTTTTAAAATGAAAACATATGAATACCTAGTGCTTGTAAGAAGCTGAATCGTTCTGAAAATTTTCCTTTGGAAAATTTGTTTGCTTGTTAAAGGATGGGGAATCCAGTTCAGATAAAATAAGATCTGATATCCTGGAATTTCCATCTCATCCTATCCTATTTTGAAAGTGCCTATCAACGTTAAGACAAGCTCATCCTTGAATTAACTCCCTTTAATAACTGGAGATGAATTTGGCCCAATTTATCTAAAGCCAAACTGAATTGCCAGAAGCCGGGAATGGGTGACAGGGGATGGATCACTTGATGATTACCGGTTCTGTTCATTCCCTCTGAAACACCTGGCATTGGCCACTGTCAGAAGACAGGATACTAGGCTAGAGGGACCTTTGATCTGACCCAGTATGAGCGTTCTTTGGTTCTTATGAATTTTTTAGTGTATTTAGGACAGCTCAATTTTTCAATTCTTGTTTTTCATTTTTCTATATTTTGTTCCTCTAAGATCTACCAATAGAAGGGTCAAAGTATCCTGAGACAGTCTGTTTTTTGAAATTCAGAGCCTCACTATATCCTATTTGGATGATTCACTATATCCTAAAACTCATGAAAAAGCCTGTATTTCCAGCTGGGGAGCAGTAACCCCATAATTTTCAGAAGTGAGCTCATTTCTCAGAGAATCGCTGCCCAAATTTGAAGACTCAAATGGTACAGATAGATGGAAGCATGGAAATTTTATCCCCAAATCATTTTTGGTTCTTGCATTCCTGGAAGAATCCTGGACCCATACAGCAAAAGAGATGTAGAGCCATGTGGCTAAATATCTCTGGCATTCAGGCCTGCAGAGTTAGTGTGGTCCTGCATACAAATTGATTTAATCTAGTTCCCATGAAGATAGCATTAGTTCATTCAGAGATACCCTGCATACCACAAAAACTTCATCTGGGCTTTATAAAAACATCTAAACTGTACTCAGCTCTTACACGTTGGTGTCTGCAACTCAGTGAAACATGTCCGTCCCCCCCACCCCGCTTAGCTTCTGATTGATCAGTCACTATGCCTGGGTTTCCAAAAGATTAAATGGGACACCCTGAATCTTAAAGCCTTTTCCATTAGCTCATTAATCTTGAAGCTGGGTTTGGCTGGGAGTGGAAGGCATCGTGTCCAAATATACTGGAGCCTGCCGGATGATCTTATATTATCGATATCACATTCCTGGCTGTTTGATTCAGCTTGTGTCATCACCAAGCACAACTAAAGAATAAGAGCCAGATGTAAGTCAGCAGCTCCACTTGTCTAGCCACAAGATATACTGGGGTTGTAAAGGGAGTATGAGTGTGGAGAAATACATATGCCAGAATATCATAGGAGATGTTTCTGTCGTGATGCTTTCTCCAGGCTGTGAGACTAACAATGAATATCGACTCTGGTCTAGTTTTCACACCCCTAGAGAGAGAGGCAGTCACGTGTTCCCCTGTTACCGCTTAAAAATAAAAGCCTTTAATTCTTAGGTTACCAAGACTGTGGCCAAAGTTTGTACTTCACTGCCTGACCTGCCATTATGTAGCCAATGGAATAAAATGTTTCTTTGTTATTTACAGTAGCACAGATAGATGGCCGAGAGGAGGGAACTAGGAGCATTCCGAAACATAGCAATTTTCTTTCTCAAATACCTGCCTTTAAAGCAGGGATTTAGATGCCCAAATTCAGCGACCTTTGGTTCTTTTGAGCATTCCAGCCTTAAGTGCCTTGTTGGAAGTGGGATGCATGCTCCGGAAGCTCTATTGATGTCAGTGGGTGGGTGCTGCAATCCACTGCAGGACCTGAGCTGACTGGGCTATGTCTACACGCACAACGCACTACACGAGAGCTCTCCCGTAGGCATAAAAAAAACCCCCACCCCCGCAAGTGGCATAAGCTGTGTCAGCAGAAGCTCTCCGACCAAGATAGCGCTGTGCACACCAGTGCTTACGTCAGTGTAACTTATGTCCCTCGGGGGGGTGGAATATTCACACCCCTGAGTGACATAAGTTTGCTGACAAAGGCTGTAGTAGTGTAGACATAGCCTGACTTTTCTCCATGCATGTACCCATTGCCTTCCACCCATCTGCCCGCATGTCAGATCCTGACCAACCTAAAGTTGCTAACAGAAATCTCTGCACCTTGAAGTCTTTAAACCACAAGTTGAGGACTTCAATAGCTCAGACATAGGTCAGGGGTTTGTTACAGGAGTGGGTGGGTGAGATTCTGTGGCCTGCATTGTGCAGGAGGTCAGACTAGAAGATCATAATGGTCCCTTCTGACCTTAAAGTCTAAAGTCTATGAGAACTAAGGGAGCGTCTGTCTTAATATTTCAGGGATCAGATACGTCAAGGCCTAGAAGAGCTGCAGAAAGTTCTGCCGGGAGGCGACACTTACATGCACGAAGGATTTGAAAGGGTGAATAAACGAATCTTAAAGTGCTTCTACAATGTCTTTCGGCAGGGGGGGCTCAGAGTGCTTTGCAAACACTAATTAATTCATGAAGCCATAGAACCACTCCCCCCCGGGAGGTAAGTGGAATTATCCATGTCTTAACGGATGGGATCCTGAAGGCAGAAAGATTGAGGAACTGGGCTATGTGGGGAGGGGTGTACATCATTCACCCTGCAGATTTTAGGCTGGAATATTATCTCCTCAGGCTATAGTATCTTCCTGTGTCCCTGTCTTTGGTTCTGGGCGTTCCCGCTTCAGGAGAGCGATCGAGGGCACAGGACAGCTGCACCCTGTCCACGGAGCTCCATTTGGAGCTGTGCTGCTAAAGGGGGGCAAGCTGCAGGAGACCCTGAAGCCAGCAAGGGCCTTCGTGTGGATGACCTTGGCCTTGAGTGGATCCTGCAGGTCATCGGCTAGGTTTGAGGGCTGGCCTCACAGCCTGTTCCATGGGGTGGATAAGCCACCCCACCTTGTAGTCTCTTCTCCCTCTTGCCTTGCCCTGCTGCAGACTTTATTAGCTCAAACATTTGCATGCAAACCGCACAGGATTTCTTTATCCCTGTCTCCCACCTTCACTAAACATTTTAGAGGCTTTTGAAAGCAATTATGCCCCCCGATGAAGATGAATTGCATTCCTGTAATCCAGCACATGGGAAAATTACAGTGCATTCCAGGCTGCAAGGAGAGCTAGCCAAGATTTGGTTCTAGCCAGAAATGAGCCTGAACAAAACTCCCAGACCCAAACACCCCCAAACCTTGCAGGGGTGCTCAAAATCCAAAGCCAGATCCAAATTCAGCAACCAGAATCCTAGCTCCAAAGAGAAGTTCAAAGCCCAGATGCAGACCCATCTCTTAATTCCAATCTCCGATACACACAGAAGTGTTTGACCTCTGTCTTGCAAAATCTGCTTGTTCATGTGTAAAGCGTAAGATGAAAACAGAGGAATTTCCACCTGAGATAAGATTAACACAACTTCTGCTAGCTCACCCCATTTGGATGAGCTGAATTAGAGTGTAGGGTGCACATGGTATCCTTGTACTCCCCGTCTGTCTGTGTGTCTCCTTCCACCTTTTGTCTTATCCTAGACTGTTAGCTCTTTGGAGGCAGGGACTGTCTTTTTGTTGTTTATGTGTACAGCACCTAGCACAATGGGGCCCTGGTCCATGACTGCGGCTTTTATGTGCTACAGCAATAGACATAATAATATTAAGAGCACGCTAAAATTAGCCCAGGCATTAGGCTGGGGCTCCCAAATTCATTACAGTCAATGGTGATGCTAAATTTGACTGTGACACACTAAGTAAATGATGAGATATGCTATAATATCCATCTCAAGGGTTGGCAAATGGAACACAGGTACAAAACAGTGTCAGGATACATGCAATGTGAACCCCCAGCTCTTGGAACTGAGCCTAAGCAGTGGGAAATGTAAAATTGAAAACAAAATTGTGCAGCAAAAGTTTTTTGCATGGGGTTACAGAATGTAAAGGGGACATTAATTTCAGAATGAATGTCGCCTGTGATAAAATGCAGCCTCCAAATTTGGTATCTTTGCTGCCACTTCCAAGTTGTTAGCAGGTCAGTTAGGAGCAATCACTAAGTATTATTCAGTTATTGCTAATGCTGCTGTTTGGATTTAATTTCAGGCAAGTGAACAGATTTACTATGAAAATGTGCAAGGTAAGAGTGCGTTTTCCCTGCTCCCCTCGCTTTTTGTCTGTGTGGTTGACTTCAGTCCTGGAGCGTAAACTTACTACAGGACAAGGGTGTGACTGTTGCTTTTTGCAGGAATTCAATGTTATTCAATGCAGTTTCCCCTGAAGAGCAATAAAGGACTTTGAATACATTTCATATTGAGGACTGAGGGCCAGTTGTGTAAAGAGGCAGATTGGTGTTGTGATGTTTAGTGATCCCTCAGTGTTTAAAGTGCTTGATTCGGTGTCCGGTTCCATATGGCAGTGCATAACAACAAAACTTCACCGTGCCAGTCTTAGACTCTGTCTGGAAAGCTCAGCCCCATTAACTCCCCCCTTTCCCATATATATAATATCTATATATGAAACTATACCATTCCGGTTTGGTAATGTTTTTCTCTCTCACACACACACTCTCACACTGCAGAGGTACAAATGACGATGCAATGTGCAAACCAGTGGAGAATCAGACACACAATTCTGCAAATATTGGCCTATGCATTTTGTATTTTCACGAGGCCTGGCATTCTGTTTTCTTTGTACTCATTGTGCTTTCCATCAAGTCATTGCTCTTTTATTGTTGCATGATTGTGTGAGAGAACCTTTTTATTAGTGTAGGCTGGGATTTTCAAAGGAGACTAAGCGAGATAGGTGCCTAAATCCCATTGACTTTCAGCAGGAGTTGAGTACTTGATTTCCTGTAGGTGCCTTTGAAATTCACAGTCTTACCATATAACACCCTCATTCATTTCTATAAGGACATTCAGTGTCCCATGAGTACAGGCTCCTCCTTCCATACTTATAACTCCCCAAGGTCAGGAACCCTGGCACAGGCTGTGTGATAGTCTGGTCACAGAAACAGAAGGAAAGTTTGTGCCTGTCTGCAAAAGCAAATGGACCCAAACCAGATCGTTCCAGCAAAAGTTGGTTTTTTTCCTCTTCATCAGCACAGACAAATGCCCATCTGTTCATAACTGCATGAAAATCCTCCTGATGATTTAGGACATTTAAAAATTAATTAGCCAGATTTTCACTTTTTCAGAAACAACCTTCAAATTATATTTAGCTTTTACTAAAGTGAAGTATCAATGTTCACGTGTAATGCATGACCGCACAGCTGTTTTGGATTTATACCAAGTGTCTGTTGCCAGAAACCCAAATTAATTCCATTCAGTGCTGCTGTAAATTTACACAGAAAGAAGCCCATACAAGCGTGGGCTACAATCGATATTATAAAAGAAGATTACAGTCTTCTTGTTACAACTCCATTGTCAGTATATATGATTGAAAGGATGAAGAGGAATTAAGCTTTTTAATAATTTTCCTACCAAAGTCTCATTAAATTCCAATTTAGCCTTAGAAGACCTAACTATAAACTGAAAATCTCTGTGGGTTTAGAGAATGGATAGATAGCATGCATAAAGGCAGGAAATAACTGGAAATGTTTTCAAGAAATTTGTAAATGGCTGCTGTGCAATCATTCAAATCTGTTTGAAATATTAAAATATTTGTTTACTAGGCTCTCAGTTTAGAGTGATTCAGACATCTTTTGGAGGAGCACAATATAAATGCCCAGAAGTCTGATAGATACAGTAGTAGGGTTGCCAACTCTGACTGAAGCTATTCTGGGAGATTTTCCCCCCCAACATGACGTAATGTCATTTTCTTAAAATATCCTATTAAAATCTTCCGGATTGTTTTCAGTAGTCACCAGGAGATCGATGCCGATTCTGGGAGACTCCAGGCCAATCCTGGAGGTGCTTTATTAAAAGTGGTCAAAAATTTCCATTGAAACCTGGGGCCTTGTTAATGTAGGGTGTTAAACAGAGGTGAAGGATATAAAGTTTGGAATATATCACTTCTGACCCTATCAGCCCACTACCGGCTCACTGGCTAGGTGTTTGGCGCACCAATTTAGTCCGATGAGCTCTTTTTGTGAAAGATTCTTTGTTTAATTTATGTAGGCTACAGAACTGCTAGTGTCATCATTGCACTGACGGATGGCGAACTCCACGAAGACCTCTTCTTTTACGCTGAGCGTGAGGTAAGAGATTCAGGGCCTGGCTATAATGCAATTGCAGGGTTTTAATCTAGCTAGCTTGTGTACTGGAGAGGAGAAGCTGTAGTAGTATGGGCTAGCCCTACGAGTAATTACCCAGGGTTCTGGGTGGGCTTGTATAGCTTGTGTCGAAGTCTGTGATGCTACAGCTTCACTGCTAGTGGTATCTGAACTAGCTAGATTAAAGCTACCCTGGATATATCTACATGTACCCTGTGATTGCAGTGTAGACATACCCTTATGGTCCATGCTCTTGAGACCGCAGTACCAGAGTTTCTGTCATTTCTGCCAAAACAAGATATGTATGCTAAGGAAGCATGTGTTTGTAGGGATAAATACTAATAGAAGCAAGATTTCTGCAAGGCTTTCAGACCACAAGATTTCTGCTCAAGTTTTACAAAAAGCACTTTGAGTGCTGATTGCTTCTGAAAATATGTCTGTAAGTGTCACAGTGAGAGCTGCTGAGTGCTGCTGGGCTCTTTTGGAAACTTTGACCCCAATTCTTGATGCTCCATACATGAAAATCTGGCCCTGCGCTCTTTTGAAGAGCTGGCCCTGAAAGTCACCAATTCAGTAACAAGGCCTTGCAAGAGAAGTGTTTTCCTAATGGACTTTGAATACCAGAATACTTATAAATAAATGGTTTAAAAAGAAAATTGAAAGGAGAAGAATTTTTGTGTGCAAATTCTCCACCTCCCCTTTTAATGATATTGTAAATAACTAAGTGCTATAGCTCTGCAAATAGCTATTGTACTGAAATGCCTCCTACACTAAGTATGAGGCGATACCATGGTTATCATAGATCCCAGGAGCAATACATACCATTTTTTTCAGGGCTTCCACTGTCCTTAGAAATGATATAAACTTTGAGGGCTGAATCTGTTTCATTTGTTTTATACTGCACACTTTCAATGGGCAAATGTTGCTAAATTGGAATGGCTAGAAATTGGATTTGTTTGGTAAAAGAATGGATAAATGTTTTTGTTTACCATGCAAGTAGCTACTATAGGAATAGACAAACTTCTGCATCTGCAGGAGAGCAGAATGTTAGAGTCAAGATCTGCTATCCAGATCTGAGAGAAGAATTTGGCCCTAAGACTTTTAATTCTATCCCTTATCATGCCCCCAGTCCTTGATTTTGAGGCAAGTTCCACTTATAGAATGACAGCAGGACGGAGATATTAAAAATACAATTACAAATGTACAGAAATCTGCATCTGTAACATGTACCTGTTTATTTACAAGTTTTGCATTCTGGTTCCAGGCTAATCGATCTCGTGACCTGGGAGCCACAGTGTACTGTGTTGGGGTGAAAGATTTCAATGAAACACAGGTAAATGAGTCATTTTTGTTTGGAATTCTGGCAAAGGTGGACTATATTCTGTCAGTTCACATACAGCAGCTATGAGTGGACTTTTCATTTGAGCCTAGCTGGGGCAATTTCAGGTGCTGTTCATGTCCATACAAGAGCCAGACCTTCAGCTAGCATTAAGTGATGTAACTCCATAGTCAATGGAACAATTCCTATTTACACCAGCTAAGGATCTGGCCCATACATATCCCTTCTGGGATCTCAATTGAATTATTAGCATCTGTTAAACTCTGATAACCTTGACTCCCCCTAATTATTATAAATCTTTCTAGAGTT